AAAGAGGTATCCGGTAGAAAATTGATGAAGGGAGATTGTTCCACTGCAAAGAGAATAAGAGGGTTGTCGAGAGAGGGACTTTCTCTATTGTTTACGAAAGCCCAGAAGCGGTGGAGGAAATGTTACCGAGTGACTTGTACAGTTAGTATGTGGTCCTTGGTCGGCGACTTTCTCGAGCATGATATTTCGTCGAGAAATAAAATACAATGAACAATGAAAAGTTCAATGATTTATTGATTATAAGCATTCTTTCTTTCTTTGAAGGAGCGAGATTAAAGTTTGTTGACAGGTAGGTTAATTTGTCGTTCTAGCTTGAAGTTTGGACTTCGGCGGCACCGTGGTCATGTTTACTTAGCTTGTGAATAAATAAAACGCAACGGGAGGACGTGCCTTTTTGCAGAACAAGTTTTCAGATAAACCTTTTTCTGCCGTTGGAAGCACATTGCTGTAGACTTCGAATTTTTTGCTTTACCGACTCTTGAAAAAATATAACCAAATTTTGCGTACTGGTCCTTGGTCCGCGACCCATGACCTCGGTGGAATTACATTTCGCAAAAAAGGAACGGCCTTTGTTTTCGAAGAATGCTTTGAATATCATCCCTATACACGTTTATAAGTTGTCTTTTCTTAATACTTCGAATATATACAGAGTTAATAGTAATTATTGTTTTCGACCTCGCTGAAAACCGCTCCGCGCTCGTGTGGGAGACTGTTGTCTGAAGTCTTTCAAAGAAAAGCAGATTATTTTAAAGTCACAACTTCCGAAAAAAATATACAGCTGACTGCAGCTTTATTGCATTGTTTCTGTGATTTTTTCAAAACGTTTGAGTCGTCTCAGGTAGAAGATAACGGTGCAAATAAGTAATTCATTTGAGAATACAAAGACATCACTTATATCACAGCGCGTGATTGGCTGATCGTGACACAATAACTAACCGCTTATTGGCTTATTCAAACAATCCAGAACGTAAATGTCGGCTGTGTTTAGCAGACGTCCGTGGGGGAGAAATGAATGCGTGACAAACGAACCCCAAAGGACGTCTGCGGGGAGGCTA